GGAGGGAGGGAGGGGTCTGTGCTGGGGAAGGTGATTTTGCCATCAGTGGAGCAGGGGAGATTCCTCTGGGGCCCCCCAAATCACAGCAGTGCAGCCCCTCCAGGCTCCTGCATCCCTCCTGGTGCAGCAGCGTGGGGCTCATCCCCCAAACCTGCCTGAATGCATCACAAAATGCATTTATTTGGCAAAAATAAGATGTTTGCCTCGAAGCTGCTGCAGTGGGAGCAGCCACAGGAGTCACAGCTGTGGCTCCAGTGATGCGAGCGGTGTCAGGTTATTCCAAGTGACAAATAACGCCGTGGAGGAGCAGCCCAGGGTAAGGATTTGCTGTTTAGGGGGAAAATGAATCCTCAGGTGCCTCCCCCAGGATGAGAAAACACCAGGGCATTTGCTCATTAACAGATTATGAACTTTGGACAAGGGATGGAGGGACAGGACACAGGGAATGTCTTCCACTGCCAGAGGGCAGGGATGGATGAGGAATTGTTCCCTGGGAGGGTGGGCAGGCCCTGGCACAGGGTGCCCAGAGCAGCTGTGGCTGCCCCTGGATCCCTGGGAGTGTCCAAGGCCAGGCTGGATGGGGCTTGGAGCAGCCTGGGACGGTGGAAGGTGTCCCTGCCCATGCAAGGGTAGGACTGGATGAGCTTTAAGGCCCCTTCAACCCAAACCATTCCATGATTCCATGATAACACAGCCTGGGGCACTCATGGAAGATGATTCCAGCCATGTCCCCCTTCCCAGACAAACCCTGCACATCTGCACCCCACAGATCTCCCTGTGTGAATCCATCTAATGGCAGCAGGAGCATCCTGGGGTGGGCTCATCCCACAAGGATGTTGGATTTGGGGGAGAGCCCAGGGCTACAGCACATGGATGCCATTCCCTAGAGAGGAATCACACAACTCCAGACGTTTTTGTCCCAGTATGGTCCATCTGGATGGGATTTTCTCCCATGTCCCTTGAATGGGGACATGAGGAACGAGCTGTTCCTCTCCATATTGATGCATTTCAGGTGGGTCTCCATAGCGACTGCAGCGCTCGAGGCTCAGCCAGGGCTGGATCCCAATCCATGGGGTGCTCAGAGCCAGCTGGAGCCACGGGAAGAGGGGCTGGGACAGCACCCCACTCCCAACAGCTGCTGTCCTGCCAGGCTGGGCTTGGGACACAGCTGTGACCGAGGACACGCGGCTGGTAAATTAATTTATTCATTAAAGGTGATGTTCACCACCAGAGCTGGGAAATTGTCCCAGAATGGTCTCAGGCTATGAAGCTGCTGGTGCTTCTTGGGTAGCCTGAGAGCTGCAGGGGTGCTCAGGGAGAGGAGAGCACCTTCAGGGTCCTGCATGGGAAAATCATGGAATTGTTTAGGTTGGAAAAGCCTTCTGAGATCATCACATCCAATGTGGCAGCACTGCCAGGTCCATGATTAACCCAAGTCCCTAAAACACCACGTCTACAAGCTTTTGGAACACTTCCATGGATGGAGACTCCACCAGCACTCTCAGCAGCCTGTTCCAATGTCTCATCACTCTTTTAATGAAGAAACATTCTCAATATCCAACCTAAACTTCCTCTGCTGCAGCTGAAGGCTGTTTCCTCTGGTCCTGTCCCATGTTCCCTGGGAACCCTGAGGTTCCATGAGGTCACTAAGGGATAAACAGCCAGCCAGAGAACCCTGCAGGGCTAAACCCCTTCCCCCAGAGCTGTTACCAGCAGCAACACCTCCTGAAGGCAGCTTTCACTTTATCTATCCATTATTGATGGGGGAATTCATCCGTGTGTATTATCGCAGGATCTGCTCATCAAGGTGCTTTCCTCCCCATCCAGAAGCAGTCTGCAGAACAGAAACGCTCATCAACCCATCCTGACTCCCAATAATGCAGCAAACTTCCCAGAAAAGGCTGTGGGAGCATTACCAGGTAGAGAAATCCATCAGCATGTGAGTGCCCAGGAAGCAGCGTGAGGTTCTGTGTGACTGAACCATCTCTGCCCTGGGGTAGCCCTTGGGGTTTTGTCAGCGTTTACAGAACGGGAACATCCATTTCCATCCCATTTCCATCCCATTTCCATCCTGTTTCCAGCTTGTTTCCGTCCCCTGAGGCGATGACAGCCAGGGACCTCACTCCATCACACAGCAAAGGTCACTCCAGCCGGTGTTTCAGCACATGCCTGTGATAAATGAGTGTTCCCAGCTCAGAAAGGCTCTATTGGATTTGGCACTCACTCAGAGCCATCAGCAGCTGCCGTCCCTCCAGCAAGCCTCCAGGCACTTGGGATGCAAGCCTGGATTCAAAGCTGACCAGGTCTCCTCTGTTTCCATGTGGATTCTCGACTAATTCAAGCCAGAAGGTTTAAATTATAAGATCAAGAACTTCTCTGAAATTCATCTCTGTTCACATCCTGCCCCGGGGCTGGGCTCTTTGTGCTCATCCTCTGCCCAAGGGCACGGCTTCCCCAGCCATGTTTAAGCCCTGGCAGGCAGGGCAGCCTCCATATTCCAAGTTTGGATTCAGGAATTCAAGGAGCAGATAAAAGGATTCAGCGTTTATTTCCTCCCTGCTTGGTGGACTCTGGTTGCCACTTCTGCTATAACCAACTCTGGGGCAACAGCACAAGGAAAACCTGGCTGGAGCTGCTGGAGATGATCCAGAGGAGGGCACAGAGATGTCCCAAGGGCTGGAGCCCCTCTGGAGCCAGGCTGGGAGAGCTGGGGGTGCTCACCTGGAGAGGAGAAGGCTCCAGGGACACCTCAGAGCCCCTTGCAGGGCCTAAAGGGGCTCCAGGAGAGCTGCAGAGGGACTTGGGACAAGGGATGGAGGGACAGGACACAGGGAATGGCTTCCACTGCCAGAGGGCAGGGATGGATGGGATATTGGGAAGGAATTGCTCCCTGGGAGGGTGGGCAGGCCCTGGCACAGGGTGCCCAGAGCAGCTGTGGCTGCCCCTGGATCCCTGCAAGTGTCCAAGGCCAGGCTGGATGGGGCCTGGAGCAGCCTGGGATGGTGGAAGGTGTCCCTGCTGACCCCCTCCAAGTAAAAACACTACTAATTGTCATTTAGCTCAATTATCATTAAATTGGGCAGGGTCAGGGTTAACCCCAGGTGGAATCACTAGGGGACATCTTCATCAGAGCCTCCCAGCAGCCGCTCACCTGCTCCTCAGGGCTGTGGCAGTGCTTTGCCAGCTCCCCAGAACTCGCAGGGGGAAGCTGGGAGATCTCCTTTGGACTGACATTTGCAGTCACTGTGAGGAATATGTGGCTGTGAGTGTGAGGGCTGAGCCCCTGCTCCTCCCAGCCCAGGGGCATCTCCACCCACCCTGTGGAAGCAGAGGAGGCAGGGTCAGCAGCCCGTGTGGGTCTGGGGTGCCCCAGAAGTGGGGGTGCCCCTCAGCCTCTCTGAGAACAGACGTGTTTTCAAACCTTTAATATCCCATGCTGTAAAACCAAGGGATTAAGAAGTTGCCTTGCCTTGCTCTGGGTCTTTCCCAGCCTTCCAGCTGTCCCAGGTGTTGGATGTTTGCCACCTTCTGGGATTGTGTGATGGATGAAAATGTGTTTTCACCCTGCACTGTAACTGGCACTGATCTATTGTGCTCAGCAAATCATTCAAGTCACTGCCAGGTGAGAGATGTGCTCTGCATTTCCCTCTTGCCAGAAGGTCTGAGAAGGCTCCAGAAAAATTCCCCCCAAGTTTGCCAGCACCTCGTGGTATAAAACCTGGCTCAGAGCTGGGAAGGGGAGGCACTGAGACTGCAGGTTCAGGATGCTCCAGGTGGGATTGCTGGATGCTGGAAGCTCAGCTACCACAGAATGTGCCTCCTCCAGCATTATTTGGGTGATTTGGAATCACCAAATTAGGTTTGGGAGCTGACAGTCCCCAGGCACATTGCAGGATCACAAACACTTTGGTGGGAAAGCTCCCTCCCCCTCACTTTGGGCAAAATGAAGTGAAAAAGCAACTTGAACAATTTTTAGCAGTCCCTTGCATGTGTTCCTACAGGAGATTCCCAATCAGCTGCTGGAGCAGTGGATCTGGGGCTGGGCAGCACCTGGGGCTGGTGGAGTGGCTGCTGCTCCTTCTGATTCTCGTGGTGCTTGCAGGGACAGGCTCTGCTCAAACACTGGAGCCCAAATGTCAGTCACAGAACCATGGAATGGTTTGGGTTGGAAAGGACCTTAAAGCCCATCCAGTGCCACCCCTGCCATGGCAGGGATACCTTCCACTGTCCCAGGTTGCTCCAAGCCCTGTCCAGCCCAGCCTTGGACAGATCCAGGGGCAGCCTCAGTTTCTCTGAGCCCCCTGTGCCAGGGCCTGCCCACCTCGGGCTTTTCTGGCATCAGATTTCTGCAGATTTACAAAGTCTTCACCAAATTATGGGGGGTTGGGTTGTATATAAATGTGTCAATAGATGCCACAAGCTGGGCTGAAAAACCTGTTGGATTTTTGTGTCTGCCAGGGCTGCTTGTGTGTGATTTTCCTTCTGATGGGAAAAGGGCCTGTTAATCCAATTCAAATCCAATTCAAAGCTGTGTTATTGCTCCTCCCTCACCCACTCCTGCTCCTGCTGTTGCAGGGAAGCTCTGGGAGCAGTAGCATGGACCACATCTGCCTCCTGCCTCAGCAGCTTCTATCTTCCCCATGGAACTGAGATTTTTTAACCTCATTTTGGGCTCCTTCTGCTGGGCACAACCAGCTGCAGCAACTTGCACAGAGGGTGCTGCACACCATGTAGGGATGGGGTGCAATTAAACACATTTACTGATGAGCTGCAGGCAGACATCACCCCAACTCCTGCTCTGCAGCCTCCCCATCCTGGAGACCAGCCCCAATAGGCTTTGGATAAGCTTTTGAGGGTTATTCACTTGTCTCTTAGTAATGAAACCTCAGGCTGGGCCCTGGGTTTAGTGGCAGTGTGATTTATTTTCTGGAGGTCAAGTCAAGAGAGGTTTCTGGCCGAACATGCCAGCTCTGCTCATAAAGATGCCCAGATATCCTCATCAGGGGTGTCTTTCTGATGTGGCCACACATTTTCCAACAGCTTAACAACTGATGAGGGCACTGCAGGGAAAATCTCTCTCCTGCTTGGGGAGCCTGAGATCCTCATTACCTCACAACTGAGGGGGGATAATAATTCCTCAAATCCCATAAGAACTGCAGTGCAACAGCTGGCATGGAGGTTGTAAGGGCTCCCTCTGCCAGGCAGAGGTGACAGAGCTGATTCATCTGGATTCATCCAGAAGGAATGGCTTCCCCTGGGCTCAGTTTCACAGCTGGGAGAAGTTCTGCAGGAGGAAAAGGAGGTTCCAAGGAGGGGATTAATTCCAGGTGAGGTGTGGTCCTGTGACTGTGCCTGGCTGCTGTGGCTGGGATTCCTGCCAGGAGATGAAGCTGGATTCAGGGATCCCTTTGGCTGTGCTGGCAGCTGAGGTTCCACAGGAGGGCTCAGCAGTGCCATCCCCTCCCTGCCCCCACTGCCTGCAGCTCATGGTTTGCCCAAAGCCCCTCCATCGCTCCCACTCCAAACCTTTCCCTGTCACAAACCTGTTTTCAGGAGTTCTGAACACAAACCAGCTCCCCTCACCTTAGAACTGAGCAACATTTAATTCTGCTGCTGAGATCACACGTTTCTGCCAGCACAGGAACAGCAAATTCCCAGTGGTCCAGCCCAAGGTCTGTTCATCCAAGCCTCCAACTGCCCTGAGAGCTCCTCTCAGAAAGGGGGGAAAAACCAGGCAGCACCTCCACAGGGAAGGAATATTTGGGATAATCCTGGAAGAGCTCTCATTTCCACCCATTTGTGTCCCTAGTTTTGATGGCAGTGCCCAAATGCTGACTACGCTAAATTATTGTGGATATAAAATACTTAACTTTGGGGAAATCCTCTGGAATTGTGCTCAAGCCTAGACATTTTAATGCAGTGGATGTTGCCCTTGGGGACATGGGTTAGTGGTGGCCTTGGGATGGTTGGGGAATGGTTGGACTCGGTGGTCTTGGAGGGCTTTTCCAATGATTTAATGAATTTAATGAATTCTTAATGATTCTGTGGCTGCAATGAGTTAAATAAAGAGGTTGTGCCATGTTTGGAGCCTGGGGAAGAAGAGGCCCAGGAGGGTTTGTTTCACCCTTTTGCTGAGCAGGGCTTTGTGTTTCCTCCTGTATGGGCAGCGTTTGTCTGGGTGATCTTTATCCAAAAGGGTAAATTTGGGTGACTGTGACCTGTCCTTCTTCATCCTTGTCACCCTGGCTGTTGTTCTCTGTGCCTTTCCCTCCAGGTAGTCTAAGAGCCAAAATATTGGTGAAAAACACACCAAAGCATCTCGTGATCATTATGGGTCTTTTCCAAGTTGGGATATTTGATGAGAAAACAAGGATTTTTGGATCCCCTGTGCCTTGTGGTGAGGATGAGCTGGACTTGCAGCTCTCAGGCTCACTGGGAGGGCTGTGCTGGCTTTAAATCAAGCTGTGCTTGCCATTTGAAGTTGCACCTCCAGGAATTAGGCAGACTTTGGGAAATCAGCACTTGGTGCTGGCTTTGGGTGGGTCAAATGGCACTTTGCTTTGGAGGGAGCTGATGGAGGTTGGGTGTGTAATTTTGTTTTTCACTGAATATAAATGAAAAGCCAATTTCTTCTCCTGACCTGTCAGGCACAGACGGAGATGGATCTGGAAATCTCCTTGCTCAGGAGTGTTTTTTCATCCTAAGTAGCTTCTCCTGCTCATCTGCTGAGCCACCAAAGGCCAGCTGTTGATTTATTACCCCTGGTGTTTGATCCATGGGCTTGGGCTTATCCTGGGCACCCAGCCCTCCTCTAATGCCAGCCCATTAACAGGGAGAGCTGCTCTGCACTGTAATTACAGCAAACGTGACATTCCTGCTTATTTCCCTTCCCCAGACCTTCAGATTTCCCCAGGCACAAAGAGCATTTCACTTCCCCCAGTGATTCCCTGGCCATTTCCCCTCCTCCTGGGATGGGTTCCTTTCCCTTCCACACCCCTGGAGGGATGAGGTTAATGTTAAATAAAGTGAGAAGGAAGAAGTTTGCTCATGAAACTCTTCAAAGATCATGAAATCTGCAAACAGAAACCTCAGATCCTGTGGATAAGGCAGCAGCCCAGGAAAGAAAACAGAATTTCGGTGAAAATTCACGTCCCAGGTGGGAAATAAGGGAGGCTCTGACTGGAAGAGCAAAAATTGGTGCCCAACTTGTAAGTAAAAGGCAAAAGTAGATGCAAAAAGCTGAGCATGATGTGTCTGTACAATTCAATGAACCAGCCAAATGAAAACCTCATCACTTCCTACCCTGCCTGATTTTAGTTCTGGTTTTTAGTTTTGCCCTTCTCTGAGCAAAGGATCTGGCAGATTCCTTTGCCAGTCTTTCAAGCAATAAAGCTAAAACCTGGTCAAACAGGTAGGCTGGGAAACAACCCAAGTTGTATTTTCTCCACCATCATGACCATCATTTATTTTCTTTCTTTCCACAGTATGTGAAAGGTGACTTGGAGTATATTGAAGTGTACAGCAGCTTCACAGTAGGATTTTCCTGGGATGCAAA